CGTTTTCAACAACATACTTATGCGAGAAAATATTTTCCTCATATGCACATCTGAAAACCAAATACAGAAGCAGACTCAACGCTGAACCAGACCTGAGACTTTCTTTCTCCGATGGTTCCGGACTTCCAAGAACTATGCAGATCAAAGCAAGTGCATCCATCACACTCAGGAGATTTAAACTTCAAGACTCCTTATGAGAAATGGAAAGGGAGGTGGATATTTTTTGCTGTTTCTAAAATTAAATAGGCTGCTAGTGTTGTTTTTAAAATTATAAAGAACAAGTTTAAGCTTTGTTGTCGTTGTGCGTTGTTTGCCTGGACTGCTCAAGACCGACCCAAATGCTTGTGGGAGGAATTCTTTATTTGAGTTGGCTTCTTAAATACCTTCATGCTGTTTCACGTCTGGTACTCCTTGATGAAACATGTAGGAGGCTTAATAGAAGTGATATGAGCTACAAAAGTGAAATCTTGGAAGTGTGTTGCAGTTTTCATAATGTAATCAAATTAATAATGTAATGATAATAATGTAATAATAGTGTGTAATCGTGTCGTAAAAAACCCAAATTATTTCCAAGATCACTGCGTCTATAATTTATGCTCAGATAAGGGAGAAAATCCCTGGAAATATTCATTCTTAGGAGGGGATATGTGAGATTTGATATTTTCTTGAAAGGGGTTCAGGGGTTGTTAAAGTTTGGGAACCACTGTCTTAGAGGATATCCTCTAATGTTCTGCTGAACACAATAAGCACAAATAGGCATCCCTCTGAATCATCAGATTCTCTGCTGGTTATGGTTTACAAGGAGACAAGTAATAGATGTGGTGTTTTAACACCCTTAAACTATGAGACATCACTATTGGTAATTGAACCTTCAGATGTCCACCTGCCATGGTGTAGCATTGCTTCATCGAGAAGGAAGAATTTATCACTGATGTGGTTGATACCAGCTTCCTGGAAGGATGACACAGAGGCAGTCCTGAGAGAGAGACAGACACTGGAGAAGTCAAAGTTTTGAGTACAGATCTTAAAATTAGAGGTACTGTGTATTGCTCTTATTTACAGCATTTAAGGCCACATTATGTATGCTCTGTTTAATGCAGTTCTCTTAATTCTTCACACTCTGTTTTCTCCTTAATTCATTACTCCATAGCCTATTTTCCCTCACAGGCAGCTGTAGTGAGCTGGAGCAGTACCAAAGTACATTGGAAGCCAAAATACGCTTACATTCTGAGGCCAAGAAAGTGCAGATGAGGTCACCCTGGAGAAGCTGGCTTTGCCAACAAAAACCACCCGAAAATGAACAGTAACCAAGACATTAAGAACCAAGTCTAGAAGGCCAATTTATAACATTTTAATATTTTGAGTAAAAGTGACTTACAACAGCCTAGCATGCTATTACTGATCCCTAGTATCTAGTCTGAAATGGTGAGGAAGAGGTGGGAGTTTGGTTAGCCAAACATGGGAAATATTACTATTACAGCGCATCAGTGTGTGTATTACAAAATCTCTTCTTATGATTCAGGCACAGACATTCCCACCCTCTTTATCTCCTCCCCCGACACAGACCTTTGGGAGTTTGATGGAAAAATACTACTTTCTGATAATTCATGGACAAATGCCAGTTACCAAGATTCATCTGTGGATGGCTCTGCTTGGATAGAGTGAAGTTGGCAATAAGTGCTGAAGATTGCTTACTTAGCAAATAAGTGAGGAGGTGTAGGTAATATTGCATGACAGTGATGGAATTTTGTTCTCTATCAGCTCATGTTTGATGGTTTACAATGCTCTGCTTTTGAGAACATGGTTATGCTGCCATAACCTCTTTCCAGAATACAACCGAAGAAAAGAGTAACAAGCTTGTGTGAGGAACATATGAGAATGGATCAGGCAGGAAGAATGAACAGCCTGCCGCTGCTTCTTCAGAAGCACAATGAATCAGCTTCACAATGACTGGGAACGTGGGATGGATAATCTCAACCAGTGTTTGTAGATGAAATGTGCCACAGTATCCAAGCTCTTTTCTTTTCTTCCTGATGTGTGTGATACCCACTGACGTTGAACAAGAGCTGCTTATCTTCATGACCGCTCAAGTACATTCTGAATGCTATGCACTGTTAACTGCTGGAAGCCTGGTGACTCCTGAGTATTGTACACAATGGTCATCCAAAGTAAACATGGATGGCATGCCCAGTAAAATAAAGATGGTCACACCAGTGTTGTTGAAGAAATGCTGGCATAAGGAAGGAAATACAGATCATAGCCATTTTGAAGCCTGGAAAAGAGGCCACTGACCCCCAAAAGATACTGGCCCATCTCTCTCCTTAGCAGTTGCTATAAACTGTTGGAGCGGCTCCTACTTCAAAGGTTGTAGCTGATACTGGAGCAACTGGTCCCCAAAGAGCAGGCCAGATTAAGAACTAGTTGCAACTGCTGTGACCAGGTGCTGGCCTTAACAAGCTACATAAAATCCAGTGAAAATTAAAAACAGTAGCAGCATTCATTGACATTCTGCATAAGATACTGTATGGCGCAGAAGTCTCCTGCTGAACTAATTAGCTTTTCGGTGCTAATCAACCATCAGACTTATCACTGAGATGCTGAGTAACAGAAAAATCACTGTACACCTTGGTGAATCTGCCAACACATTGTGGAGATTGAACAATAGCCTCCCACATGGATCCATTTTAGTGCCTGCACTGTTCTGTCTCTGTACCAGCAACATTCTGGTCACATCATACCATAAATTCATTTATGCAGATGACACTGCTAGCAATGCAAGCATCGTCTTTGAAGGCCACAGAAAAGGTCATGAACAACTACCTCTGGACATCTGAGACGTATTTCAGAGCTTGGCAACTGAAACCCATCACTTTGAAAACACCTCTCTCTGCCTTCCACTTGAATAGCCATGAGGCTGAAGTGCCAAGGAAAGTGGACTTCTGTGGTCTGCCTCTACTCCATGACCACAATCCTGAGTACTTTGGAGTTACCCTTGATCAGATGCCAAGCTGTCACCAACACGTTGATAACACCAAAAAGAAGATAAAGACAAGGGTTAATATAATCAAGAAGCTCACAAGCATGTCCTGGAGATGTGATGCAAGCACGCTTCGAACGTCAGTACAAGCCCTGGTCTTGCCAATGGTGGAGTGTTGTATGCCAGTTTGGTAAAACAGCTCCCACACCAATCTCATTGACACTGAAATCAATGCTATCCTCACAATCGTTAGCAGCTCTCTCAAATCAATGCCGATACTGTGGTTACCAGTTTTGGCGGGCACTGTGCCAGCCAACATCAGGTGAGACATTGGTGGGGTCCAGGAGTACAAGAAGATCCTGGCCACTCTGGATCTGCTGATACACTAAGACCTCATTTCATTGCTACTTTCCTCATTCAAATCCAGGAAGCCTTTCTGGATCTGTGTGTCAATTCTACAGGCCAATGGAAAGGACGCAAGAACTTTCTGGCTTGAATCTTGGGCTGCTTGTGTGATATTCTGAAGACCTGACTGAAGATCCAGCGAAAGAAGGTCTAAGATTCTCCCTTCCCCACAGGCAGTGGACTACACTCAACCGTGTTTGGAAAGTGCTCAGAGGGTGTGGATATCTCCATCACAAGTGGAAAATCAAAGAATCACCATATTGTGACTGTGGTTAGGTACAAACAGTGCGATGCATCAGACAACTAACCCATTCGTATTTGCAGTGGTGGCACAAGGGGGAACGCGGTGGCTACCCGAGAAGCATTAGAATGGTTTTCAAATCTCAAAATTTAGTTACAATCCAAGCCCATTGCTTTTCAGATGACATACACAAGAAGAAAATACAGAAACAATGGACACAATCATTGAATCTGTACAAATTCCCTGGCAGAAATTCACCATCCGCTCCCTTGGCTAAAGAAAATTATATGCTGTATGATACTTAAGTAATGTGGTACCATGAATGTTTAATGTGTATGTTTTGTGTTTACTGGGTATGTAAAGAAATTGTAATCCAAACTTCACTTTTTAATTAAAAGTTTTGTCCCTTGTTGTATACTGTGACATGTCTCTCTGTTCTCCCTCCTCCCTTCTACAAACTGCTTTTGTATAGTCGTTCTCACCCAATCTCTGAATACAAACTGTTTGGACACAAGGATGGGGGAGGCTGGGATGATAGGTTTTCACTGCTCTCCAGGACCCGTTTGGGTTCTCCTTTTCCTGTGTGAACTACTATATTGATTTACATGGTCCAAAGAAAACAAAACTCTTCTTTCCTACTGCCAACAATTGGTAACAGTACTCTTGGAAAAAGGGCAAACATGGAGTCAAGTAAGGTATGGTCAGAAAAATGATAGTGTTGTAAGCGTATTTGCTCCATGTGTGTATTTGGAGTCCTATCTGCCATCTTTGACAAAAATAAGATTTTACTCTTTTTATGCCTGCGAATCTAAAGAGTTGTAGGACACTGAGTTGCATTCTTCTTTGGCTCACATATCAACGGAAGTGTTAACTAAGTTCTAGTTATATAATCTTTTATCTGGAGCTGAATGTTTACAGAGGTACATACTTGAATAGCACCTCTGCTGGATTAGGATTACTGGTGGTGATGTTGAGTTAGAGCAAAGCTTGGCTTTCAGATTGCTTGTTGAATTTGCAGGTTTTATTTTCCTTTAAATGGATCAAATTTGTTTTAGAATCATTGGCTGCATCTGGCAAAATTCAGACCTGTAATTCTCCACCGGTGCATCAGCATCAGTGATAGCAAGAAAACATGGCTAAACGCCTCTTTCTTTTTAGTGTAGTTTTAGGAAGTTTTTTAATTTCTGCCTTTTTTTAGCCTGTGCTGTATTTCAAATCCGATAATTTGTTTTTCAGAAGCTGAGGTATTAACCGCATCATGGTGCTCTAGTGGAATGCTTGCAGCACACAAAAGTTCTGTAGTCACATAGAAAATATTCAGTTTATGGGATTTAGCAAACTATGGCATGTGCTAATTTTGAGTCTTTTTTGTTCCAGTTCCCAGAGTGTGGTTTCTTTGGCATGTATGACAAAATTCTCCTCTTTCGCCATGACCTGAACTCGGAAAATATTTTGCAGAGGATTACATCAGCAGAAGAGATACATGAAGGAGATCTTGTTGAGGTTGTGCTCTCTGGTAGGTCCTTTGTAGTTCAATGAAGCCATTCTTATTATTGAATAAAAGTCACAGTATTACAGTACACCGTCTGCAACAATATAACCGTGGGCTGTGGGTCTTGAAGCTATTTGGCTGAGCAGGCTTTGAGGCAGATTTCCAAAGAAATCCAGAGTGCTCCCTGAAATGGTATTTGTGATCCAGTGAATTTGTCTTCCCTGTGGCTGCATCTGCACTAACAAACTTTGTGGTCTTAATCCTCCAACTCTGGTATTAACCGTGGAAGCTAAAGTATAGATAGAACTCAGGTGTGGTTTCCTTCCACCTTCCCTTTTCCCCCAGCTACCATGTTGTTTATACCTAGGTCTGCACCCTTTCTATTTTACAGTTTCCATCAGTGGTGGATTACAGCAAAAAAGAGTGCTAATGTAGATGAGTCTTCTGAATCATTACCTGTCAGGATGTGGTGTTATGAGACATTGTGTTGCTTGAGTGAACCATCTTGAACAGTGGTTCTCAAACTTTTGTACTGGTGACCCCTTTCACAGAGCAAGCCTCTGAGTGTGACCCCTCCCCCCTTATAAATTAAAAACACTTTTTAATATATTTAACACCATTATAAATGCTGGAGGCAAAGTGCGGTTGGGGTGGAGGCTGACAGCTCATAACCCCCCATGTAATAATCTTAAACCCCCAGTTTGAGAACCCCTGAGCTTGTAGATGATGCAGAAAACAAAGGTGGCGGTTATTAAAGAACCCATTGCATTTTTCAAAATCTTTGCGGTGTTGGGCTCTATGGATCTGATTCAAAGCCTATTGAAATAAATGGAGGGACATCCATGGACTGTTGGTAACGTTGGAAATGGAAACCTAACAGAGTATGTCTAACCTGCATTTTAAAATCTGTGCAGTGAGTCTTGGAGCCTGGGTCTACAGATTATGGCCTGCAGGACTCACTATAGCACTAAAAACAGCATTGTAGACATTGTGGCTCAGGCTCTGAAACCTGTTCCCCTCCCTGGGCTTTAGAGCTAGCACTTTGGCATATATCAGTAACCCAGGGGGAATAGAAAGCAGGGGTATGATAACTAAGGCCCAGAATGCCACCTTGGATACTGAGAGGAATTTCTTGCCTAGTTTCTGAGACAGGAGTTAGATCCAGCCAGGGAAATGGGAATTGCATTGGTCACTGTTCTCCTTGACTTGTCTCAAGCAAAACTGGGAAGGCAGTTTTCTTGAACTATGTGTCGTAGCACAGTGAAGCATTCTCTAATGCCTGAAAGTGCAATATGGTAACCCAGTTTTTTTCCTTGTCTCTTGTTGGCAGAGTACTTCAGAAGACAGTAAAATTTGAGTTGTCAGCTTGGTAGCCTGGTTTAGCATTACCCTTTAATTACAGTCCTGCCAGTTCTCTATTCACCTAATATTGTTCCAAGTTATTTTGAATGATCTTTTAAGTAATGTTTTGTGAGGCACCCTATCAAATGTTTTAATAACATTAAATTATACTTAATCTGTTGGGTTTTCTTCATTCATTAATTTTGTAGCTCCATATGCGCCCCCCCCCCCCATCAACCAGGTTTGTCAGCACTAAATATTCTTCAGTAGCAAGTACTGTTTGGTACTCCATGATTCTATTATCTTACAGATTAAAAAGTTTGGCTAAAAACTGTGCATGAGTGTGTATGAAAAATCCTCCAAATGTATGGGATTTTGGGATGTATTTTTTGTATTAAACAGCTTGATGGTGTTCTTTGCAACTACTGTTTTAAAACAATGAACGGTTTCAATAAATAGTTATTATTCTTACAGTCACAAATATATAATTTACTGCAATTTTTTTAAAGCTTTGGCTACAGTTGAAGATTTCCAGATTCGTCCTCATGCACTTTATGTGCATTCTTACAAGGCCCCTACATTTTGTGACTATTGTGGGGAGATGCTTTGGGGTTTGGTACGACAAGGATTAAAATGTGAAGGTAAGTCAAGTGTTAATAGCTGATAGGTGAATCATGATGTTTTAGCTTTTATCTTTACAGAAAGTTACAGGGAAAGTATAATGGCAGGATCTGTATCTTAATTACGTTGTATAATTAATTTGTTGGTCAGCGATGAATTCAGCTTTTGGGAAGGAGCATAGTTCAGTTGGAGCTTTGACTGTATATCAGGAAACCTGAGTTCTGTTCCTGGCTCTGACACAAAATTTGTATGACCTTGGGCAAGACACTTAATTTCCCTGTTCCGGTTTCCCACCTGTAAAAAAAGGGAATAATACTTAACTCCCAGGGGTTTTGAGAGGCTCAATTAGTGTAGAGTTTGAGTTCCTTGCAATAGCTTTTTTAGTAGTTTAATGGAGAGAGTCCCAAAGGGGAACCCTTTTCCATATGGCCTTTGTCCAGCTGGATTGTGGAAAGTGTTGCAGCCTGTTGTCAGCAGGCTGGTGTCCAGGTACTTGAAACACACCACTTCCTGCCCATTGGCTTCCTCTTCATTCCTGTGGCTTCAGCTTAGCCATGAGAGCCTGCCTGTGGGAAAAGAAGTGAGGAAGATCAGTAGCCACACACGATCTGAGAGACCCTGATTCCAGGTTTTATCAAGTATCGGGCAAGGGTAATTGGAAATCATTATTTAGGTAAATGGCAAACTCCAAAATTTTTAGTTCAAAGCAAGCCATTATTGTAAATTACACTAACAATAAATACTGAGTTTCCTATTCTATTACATTAACTGATGAATCTAAACAAATTGCTACTTTTGTCTGCTATGTTTCTGGATTTATATTTTTCCTCTCTGCTTTATAAAAATGTTACTACTATACTTGCCATTTTAAAATATTTTAATTATTTGTGCTACAGGAGGAGTTCTCTTTACATAATTTTTTCAAACTGACATTTTTAGGCTGTGGATTAAACTACCATAAGCGATGTGCCTTCAAGATCCCAAATAACTGTAGTGGAGTGAGAAAGAGGCGTTTGTCTAATGTGTCTTTACCAAGTGCTGGGCTTTCAGTTCCCAGACCAGTGCAAACTGAATACACAGCCACTGCCACTGAAGAGGTATGTAACAAAAATGTAAAAACAAAATATACTTTATACACAATAATGCTGAGTTAAATCCATCATGTTTCTGGGAACTAGAACCAGCTGTATCATAATTGATTTAAATTGAGTAAAAACTAGTTCAGATTAACCATTTCAGACCATGCTTGTTTATTTTTAAATTGCTGGAGAATCTTTTACACTATGACATTTGATGATTCTGTCTTATTACAGGGATTGTGAAAAGTGAAATTTGAGGTGGATTATAATTTATGTATGATTTCGCCATTAACGTGTCATTCACAGTAATGTGTATTCTTTAAAAATCTTGGGATAGGAGAAGATAAAATACATTGATTCCTTTTGGAATATAGGTTTAGTGTGCAATTACTTATCAGTCTATAATAGTTAATTGGGTAAAACACAGTATAAATTGTACATTTATAGTGTGAGAAGAGAGAATGTTCCACAGAATTCAACAAAGACATTTATGTAGGGAGTAAAGATCTTACAGGAAGTATTCTTCGCATAGATATTATCCACAGTAGTCCCCCACTATTAAGAGGGATGAGAAATTAACACAAGCTCTTATATCCCAGACACGGCAACAAAACATCCAAGGGCCAATGGGGTCATTAGATCAGTTATATTTGTTACTAACTGTGACCAGTGGGTGGGAGTAAGATAACTGATATTAAGCCTGTTCTTACCTTCTAACTGTCTGTTTAAAAAATAAAATCTAAGAGTTAATTGCAATTGATAGAAATAGCATTGTGTGGCCAGAGTTATGGCAGGTGATATGTTGCAGTTACAAAATTTCTGCATTGTTGTCTTTGTCCAGGATTCTCCTAATTTTTGTCAAGTTTCTTTGCTGTCATATGTGTTGGGTTGAGGTTAATTTACTCAACAGATGTGTCTAACAGATATTTATTATAGCAAAATACTCAGCCAGTAGTGATCAATTACTTACAAGTGTGAAGCTCATTAGGACAATCTTATCACAGTTGCCTCCAGCACTAGACAGTACAGCTTCAATGTCCCTTTGTTACACAAACTTATTTATATCATTTTGTTATCTTTTCATATACCTATATATTAGTCTCTCATTTCCATATTAACTCTCCTCCCTTGTCAGTACAAGTTTAGTGTTAGTTCAAATTGGTCTTTTCTAGGTTTGTAGTTACTTTATTTTTTCTTGTTCTCACAAATATGATTAATTTGCAGTTCTTACACATGTGCAACATTAAACATGATTACTCTGCAGTTTTTTTACACATACACACTTCTACATATGCTTATGCTGTTAAACGTTATCAAAACAGACTCTTAAAATGAACAGCAGGCTTCTGCCAGGCCTAAATATGTCTCTGCTCCCAACAATATGATGCCAGAAGATATAGTAATCCCAGGCATAAACAGTTTTAAATTTGGCTAGAGAACACAGTGAGGCATCTGCCCCTTTCAGAGCTGTCTGGTAAAACTTTTTATTCCTTGAGTGACTGAACTCCATTGTGGGAAGGGAATACCAGACTTCAGTGAAGCAACCTCACTTTGTATCAGCTGAGGATCTAGTCCAAGGTCTTTAATGTCCTGGTCATTAATGTCAGACACTATTACTGTCATTTACTGTGTTCCGTTGGTGTGTTTGGTGTTGTACAGTACATGGCGGGAGATGCATTTCCTAACTTCAGAGACCTTACAGTATAAATTTTACAGACAGTACCATTCAGGAACACAGTACACCTTTTGGTCAGAGACTGGAGGGTCCAGTCTCAGAGCACTGAAGATAAATACAACTAAGTTATCACTGAAAAGCTTTGCAGAAGTTCATTTGAATGATGACAGAACAATCACTATTTCTCCACCTAATGTGGTACATCCAATTTTTTTTGCATACAAATTCTGCATATTTGCCCAGTGCATCTTATATTTCATCTTTTTGGTTTTGTTTTCAGTGTTAAGGGGAGATTAAATTGACAATATAGGTTACTGGATTTGCAGTCTTGTCAATTCGTCCTATGTTACTATAGTTTGAGTTTTGCAGTGCCACATTCCTCCACCTTCTCTGATGTTCAGTGTTTTCCATATGGTTGTCCCTGAAACTAAGTAGTACTATTCTCCTTTAATAAACAATGCACCTAGATCAGCCGTAAGGCTTTGAATATTTCATTTAAAATGTTAAATTACACATTATTTTGAATTTTTACCTAATTTAGTAAATTGTCCTGGCATGCAAGGCTTTCTGAAACAGTGTGATGTGGCAGGTGTCTATTTTTGGGTTTATTGCTGTAACGCCTCCCATTTTGGAGGAGTCTGGATGTGAGACTGATGTTTATCACAGGCCTGTGCTGTTTCTGAGCTTTTACCATACTACCTGAAGAAATCAAAAGTGGGTATTTTTGGTTTTGTTTATCATTTTAGTCCTTGTGGAAATACAGATTCATAAACTTTTTCCTGCTCTCTGCAAATCTTTACAGTATTGTGCTTCTTTCAGACTTCCAAAATTACTTCTTAAAACTGCCTGGCCAACATGCTCTGCAAAATGTTTGCTCAGTGTCCGGGCCAAGCGCCCCTTGAAAAAAATTGTTTCTAAGCCTGACATGTTCTTATTAGAATCTCATGTGCCTCCTCTATTCCAGCGCTGCCACCCAGAGCCCAGCAAGAGAATTCCCTCCTGGAGTGGGCGTCCAATCTGGATGGAAAAGATGGTGCTTTGCAGGGTGAAGGTTCCTCACACCTTTGCTGTCCATTCCTATACTCGTCCCACCATATGCCAGTATTGCAAACGTTTGCTCAAGGGCCTTTTTCGCCAAGGAATGCAGTGTAAAGGTAGGAGTTCAGTGCTCTACAGCAATCAGATTAATTTCAATGAATGTTACAATATTTAAACATTTTAAAAATGAATCTCATTATCTAAAATAGCAGCTTTATTTAAAACAGAATTATATATTTAAGATAATTGCAGTTTTCATGCTTTGTTCCATTCAAAAAGGTGTATTAATTGGATGTATAATTTTGTGAATAATGTACTTGAATAATAAGTTAGTTAACATGTAGATCAACAAAGGTAATCCTCCAAGGATCATTCTGAGTAGCTCAAAAATATTGTGGAAGACATTCCCTCCTTTAAAAATCACTTGCATTTCAACAAGAAGCTTTTAAAAAACAAATACAAAAACTCTTAGAGACACTGTCAAGTATAGTACTTAAAAAGACCTAGCTCACATTTTTCCTGTACCAGTTTAGTTTCTTTCCATTAGGTGCACCTGTGTTTATAGGGAGAACATCTTAGCATATCTCTACCTCATTGTTTATATTCTCACATCTTTCTCACAGCTCTCAAAACATGGCATATTATCATGTTCTTTGACTCTGCATTAGCAGAATACCAAACACTACAGACTTTACCTACTCAGTGTTTCATTGCTTTGTTTGTGTAAAGGGGTTGTCATTCACTGCTCATGAGCGCATCCTCAGCCCTTCTGGTCACTCTGCCTTTGGCCAGTGGGGGGGATCTGGGCCCGCCCACTACTCTGGGTCCTAAGCTAGTCCTATGGCTAGCAGCCACTGCTGCTTCCTTTGCTACTATCTATTGCAGCATTCCTTGGGCTGCTTCCCACTATGTCCTGTCAGCTTGTTGGGTCCCCAGCCTGTTCCCTGTTTAAGCAGGGTCTCTCCCAGGCCTCTTTGCCCAGAGAGTCCGTAATAATCTCTGCCCTGTTCTCTCAGGTGCATTCACCTGGTGAGCTTCTAACAAGTCTCTGGCCCTTCTTGTCAGGGCTATTTCTCCGAGGCCTCTGTGCCTGGAGAGCTTCACAGTCCTACCCCTGCTTAGGCAGGGTTTCTCCCCAGTCTCTGTACCTGTGGAATTTCCCAGCCTGCGACTGCTCTGTCCAGTTGCTGCAGCTTTCTCAGCCAGCCAGGAACAGCATCCTTCCTCCTCTGGCTCCAGCCAGCAACTGAGCTGTCCAGGCCCTGCAACTCCTTTTATATGTGCCTTCTAGGCTCTGATTGGCTGCCTCCCCTGCAGCCTCTCTAGGCCACTTGGCCAAACCCCACTCTATTGCCTTTTTCTGGGGTGGGGTATGGTAAGACTGCAGAGCCTTCCAGAGGGCCTCAAAGGGCCTGGTACACCATCACAGTTTGTCACAGAGAAAGCTAAAAATCCCAGAGTGGTGAATCTTAAAAATTAACATAGAAAAAGAATATTTTACAATCTGATGGACATTTCTGCTTGGAGTATACCAGAAGGTCAGATTTGGAGGCTAAACTATTTGGTCATGTTTTAGTATATTTGAGACATGTTGCCCAATAAATCTACAGTAATCCTGTGTGTAAATAGCTTTTGTTTAAAACTTTCTTTCGGTTTTGTTTTCTTTCGTCTGTTATGTAAAAGTAACTGTAAAATTGAACACCAGACATCAGTAGGTTCCTTTGCAATGGGAAGAGTTATAACCTCACATCTTTCATCTCTGCTGGTATTACAGCTTGGAAATTCTAGGTTGCATCCAGGATTATTTAGGATTTTGAATCTCTGTCTTGTAGGACATGCACTGTTGATATGTAATCAAACAACAAAGCTTAAAAAGACACTTGAAACTTTATTTTAACCTTTAGAGAGTGGAAATGGTTGACAGCAGCCACTTCAAAGAGAAATGGTCTTGAATCCATCCAGATACATGGAATTCCTCTATCCCCAGTTTCAGGGAAGTGAATTTCAGTAGATAGCAAAAAAGCATAGAGAAGTGAGAAATGGGCATGAAAGAAGAGAGATGAAAAATAAAGATGACTAGCATTTCATGCAGTATGACACTTTCTTCTCAGTTCCTTATTGGTATTCTGAGCATCTTCATCTCTCCAGCTACTCGAAAATAAACCAAGAAACTGACCTTGTTCTGTAAATCTTACTAGAAACAGTTCTGGAGAAAATGAACAATTACTTTGTTGACATTTCGTCACTCTAGGCGCTCAAAAGACTAAATAAGGAAGTGGTTGGACCCAGCATTTAGCTACTTAGGTTAAAAGGTAGGAGGCTGAGCTGTTTCTGTTAATCCTGAGGAAGTGAGAAACCCCTGGTGACTCCTGCTTCATGTGGGCAGCAGCAGGGAGGGCCAGATTGTTGGTTCAAAAGCAGTCCTGGAAACAAAGGAAATATTTAAGTTGTGATGACTGTACTGTACTGAAGGGAGAAATATCCTGGCCCTGGCAGCAGGGGAAGTCTTATAACCTTGACGGGAGTGGTGAAAGACCTGGTGTCATAGTGGCCATGGTGGTTGCAATGAAGGTTGGAGCAAAACTTTAGTCCCATAACAGCAGGCAGAACAAAAGGGAGGGAGGAGCCAATCTTTGATCCCAAAACAATGGGAAAAAAGGGAACTGGGGATGGAGAAGGGAGAGTATGAAAGAAGAGAACCAGAGCAGAGTAGTAAAATCAGGATTAAAAAAACAAAACAAATGAGAGAGACAGAAAAGAATAGTATATTTCTTGGAGAGAGAAGAGATGAAAGAATAGTCATAGATGCCAGTATGATTTAATGAATTGCAGTGGAGGCATCTCAGCAAGTGACTTCGTGACAAGATTGTTGACGTGCTTTCTGGCCTGAAGTTGGTTGAATATCTTTTTGAAAATAATGTGATCGTTATTTCAGAGACTCTTTCTGAGTATGAATAAAACTAAACTATATGTAATGACATATGTGGGTTTTTTTCTATTTTAGATTGCAGATTTAACTGTCACAAACGTTGTGCATCTAAAGTACCCAGAGACTGTCTTGGAGAGGTGGTTTTCAATGGAGGTAGGAAAAACATGTTTTCAAATAGTGGAATATCTCTGGAGACATAACAAAATACACAAATCTTACTTTTATTACTTTCTGATCCTGTCAACTCTTAGTATTTTAAGGCTAAAGTTTATTAAATGCCCTTTTCCACTCCTCCTTTTTTCTTCCTGGAGAAGAATTAGTCCCTATGAGATAATTGAGAATTAAAGATTTGACTTTAAGACCTGTTTGTCTCTGGTGGTTTACAACTTACTTAAAAAATCTTGGCAAACTCAGTATACTTCATTTGATATTTCTCTTGAAGTCAAGAATTAGGAACATTTTTTCATGTCCAAAAATGAGTTTAAATTGTGATCAGTCTACTCAGTGTTTTTCATGAAGGACAGCTTTCTTTGTCGAAAAAAGAGCCATTTTTAATGGAGTAAAATGGAAAATTGTATGGGGAAACATTCTCTCTTAATGACACATTTTAATGGCCAGTCAGCCAAACAATATTTTGTAATGTGCTAGTAACATTTCTGTATGTATCTGAAGAAAGAGAATTTCCACTAACTTCTTAACTTGTTGGAGCTTTGGTTTGTTTAATAGTACTCTGTTCCCAAAAGGCTTGGGTGGAAGTGTCATCTCTTCCTAAATTCTTGAGGTTTTGCCCTTTTCGATATCATTTCTCCCTTGTCTGTCCTGACCCATTCAAAAGGGAGGACATAGGCTTGATTCTCCATTCTGTCTGAGCTTTGTGAAGATAGGATGGAGAGGGAGAGTCACAGATGACTGATTGCATCTCCCTGGTCCTGGGTCACCTGGCAGTATAAGTGAAAGCTTCGGGGGAGCAGTTTTAACTTATGCCAGTGAAGAATTGAGTGTGTACGAACTCCGTTCTGCAACACCTGCCTTTGGATTGTCCCCAACACCCCCCTCCTCTGTATGCTGGAGTGGGAGGTTAGCTGGCACAGGGGGAAGCTTTCCATTGGTGGAGCGTTCCCTTAAACAAGGAATTGACCATCTCTGGCCACTTTAAGGCCATTTTGCATTACTCACAGCATATGTGGTACAAAATCACTTTAGCAAACCAGTGAATCCAGACCATAGAATTTTGCCTGTAATTTTCTTATGAGGACTGTTTTGGCCGGACCTCCTTGACCAGGCGTGATATGAAATGAGGCCTGCAATATGTTTGTTCTTTATACTCTTCTGCATCAGTAATGAAAAAAATTAGGTTTCTTAAATGGTTTCACAGGTGTGGGCGACAGTCTTTTTGTTTGTCTGTGACTTGATTTTTGTGTGTGTAAGACTAGATCGGGGAGAGTTCTGTGACTTGTCATTAACTTAAGATAATTCTATCTGTTGTTAGAACCTTCTAGTCCAGGCCAAGATTTGGACATGCCAATGGAAGTTGACAGCAATGAAATAAACAGCGATGGTAGTCGGGGTTTGGATGATGTAGAAGAACCTTCTCCTCCAGAAGACAAAATGTTCTTTATGGACCCTTCTGATCTTGATGTGGACAAAGATGAAGAAGCTGTCAAAACTATCAGGTAAGCAGCAACACAGATTGTTGTGCTACAGGCATTCCATTCCCCAATACTGTATACTGAAACACAGTGTTTTGCAGTTCCAAATTTGTTGTTGCTAGTCAGGTCTTCATTTTCAGTTTTACAAAACATTCAGTCCCAAATAAAGATGAAAACCAAGTAAATTAAAAGCCTAGATATATGCTGGGATTTTTTTCTTGCAAAAGCTGCCGAACTGTGACTGTCAACCTGGAAATAAATCAGCTTATTGAAAAATGGCTAGAACTACAGATTAGTCAATGGAAAATGCCTTGCTGACCAAGATCTTCATGCCTATTTTATGCTACTGACCTTGGGCCAAATTAATTCCTACTGTAAATAGATCTAAATGGTTTTAGCTCTTGTGTTTTAATTCCTTGTGAGCTGGGCTAAAGGGGGTGATATTTTAGTTTTTGTAGTTTAGATTTTGATGTGAGTGTTGATTTCTGTGTACAGCTTGTATACCAATTGTCTTTACTTACATAAAGTGGGGGGTATTGACAGTTAGAGAAGAAGAATTTGGTATCTGATTTGATTGACATTAAATACCTTCTTGGGCTTGAATAGGACAATCATTATCCAGTTTGGGTTAGTTTACTTTATTTTATTATCTATTTTTTTAAAATTTCTGTATTACTTTGAAAAGTGTCAGCTGGATTCTCTGAAGCCATGTTTGCAAACTGTTCCCACCAGTGCTACCACCACTTTCTGGAAAGGGCATTGGTGGTTTTTACCCACAAAGTTGGATAAACCTGCAGATTTAATTAATTCATGTATAAAAATGTTAGAAGCAGCCAGAGCCTTGTCTGCACTTGAGCTAACAGTAGTGGGATTTTTTTATTTTTTGGGGGGGGGTAAAATTGCGTAGTGCAGGTATGGCTCAAATGAAGAAAGTCCGTCTCTAGCTAGATGAACAGGAGTACTTGTGGCACCTTAGAGACTAACAAATTTATTAGAGCATAAGCTTTCGTGGGCTACAACCCACTTCTTCGGATGCATATATC